CAAGGCCAGTTCAGGCCTGATTATGCATATACCAATTTCATTTGATGATGGAGTATTGTGATGCCCACCCAGCTTTATGGCTTCATGAGTGAGATGACATCCAATCTGTGATGGGCAACTCAGGGCACATGGTGACATGGTGGCCCACGGTTGAGCATTCAGTCACCACTAAGGCCTGGTAGCAGGTCAAGAGCTATTACTCAAAAGGAGACAGGTTATCTGCATAAGATGGCAGGTCTTTGCTCCAAAATCTTAAGGGCCTGTGGTGAAATTCACCATAAGGACTTGCCAAAGGCTTCAAACATCGTCTTTTCTGCCACTGACACTTTAAGCAGCATTAGATCTACTGGATCATGTAACCCATGTGGCAAAGCAGCTTGCACAGCAGCTTGGACCTGTTGCAGAACCTTCTCTTCTTCTGAGTCCCACTCAAAACAAGCAGCTTTTCCAGTCACTCAGCAAACGGACCAGGCTAACACACCCAAATGAGGAGTATGCTGCCTCCAAAATCCCATAGGCCCACTAGGCATTGTGCCTGTTTCTTGGTTGTAGGAGAAGCCAGCTGCAACAACTTATCCTTTATCTTAAAAGGGATATATCAACATGCTCCACACCACTGGACCTCTAAAACTTTCACTGAGAGAGAAGTCCTCTGAAGTTTAGTCAGCTTTACTTTCCACCCTCTGTCATACAAAAGTCTCACAAATAAGTCTATAGGTAGCATAATGTCATCAATGTAATGGACCAGTGTGTTATCATGTGAACTAAATTATGACAGAGCTGGAGAGTTGATGTCCCTCTGATGTAGGACAGTGAAGGTGACTTGCTGGTCTTGTCAACTGAAAGCAAACTGCTTCTGCTGGTCTTTGTTTTTGTTTGTTTTGTTTTATTTTGGAGATGGAATTTCGCTCTTGTTGCCCAGGCTGGTGTGCAATGGCACATCTCGGCTCACTGCAACCTCCGCCTCCTGGGTTCAAGTGATTCTCCTGTCTCAGCCCCCAAGCAGCTGGGATTACAGGCATGTGCCACCACGTCCAGCTAATTTTTTATTTTTGGTAGAGATGGGGTTTCTCCATGTTGCTCAGGCTGGTCTCAAGCTCCCGACCTCAGGTGATCCCCCCCACCTCGGCCTCCCAAAGTGCTGGGATTACAGGCGTAAGTCACTGCACCCCTGGTGGTCTTTGTTAACAGGTATTGATACAAATAGCATTTGCCAGGTCAATAGCTGCATACTAGGTATCAGGAGATGTCTTAATTTGTGTAAGCAGTGAACCCACATCTAGTATAGCAGCTGCAATTGGAGTTATCACTTGATTAAGCTGATGATAATCCACTCTCATTCTCCAAGATTCATCCATATAGCCAAATAGGCAAATTGAGTGGGGATGTGGTGGGATTCACCCAGAACCCCTGTGTCTTTCAAGTCCTTGATAGTTGTACTAATCTCTGAAATCCTGCCAGTAACATGGCTTTGGTTTATTATTTTCGTAGATAGAGGCAATACTAGTGGCTCCCACTTCACCTTTTTCACCATAATAACCCTCACTTCACAGGTCAGGAAACCAATGTGAGGACTCTGCTAGCTGCTATGTCTATTCCAATTTTGCTTTTCAGAATTGAAGAAAAACCATAGGATGGGTTTGAGAACCCACAGGGCCCACTGTGAGACAGACATGAGCTAAAATTCTATTGATCACCTGACCTCTATAAGCCCCCTACTCTCACTGGTGGTCCACAGTGACATTTTGAGTCTCTTGAATTCAGTGTCAGTTCAGAGCCAGTGTCCAGTAGTTCCCAAAAGATCTGATTATATCCTTTTCCCTAGTGCACAGTTATCCTGGTAAAAACCCATAGGTCCTTTGGATAAAGACTAACAGTATAAATTCTGGATAGTATCCAAGAGTCCTTCCTCAAGGGGACCCAGTGTGTCCTTCATTCAAGGGTTTCTGGATCTGTAAGCTGACTCAAGTCTAGGAATTAATTGAGAGGCCACGACTCTCCGTTTTTATGATTCAGATAAGATTTTATTCACTTGACCTAGATTTTTTTTCTTACAAAAAATCAAATAAGAATTTGTAGTCTTCCTATGGATTTCACTTCAAGGAACACATAAAAGCTAGCCTACATCATGGGTCTGCAGGAATCAGACTGTTCTGATAGCTGCTTTGACCCTGCAGTCCACTATGGTAACCACACTCACCCTGACCAGTTTAGCAAGGCAATTTGGCCCCTGCCACACTGGGGTTTAATTATCCCCTTTGCATTTAGGTTTCCCGATTCGATGACTGCAGTTCCTACTGTGAGGCTTGGCTTACATAGAAGAGTGATCACAGAGCTTTTCAAGGATGCTGGGCCTCCCCTCACAAATTTATTTCTCACAGTGTTGTTGAAAATTGTGTCTTCTGATTACTCTCAATGTGGGTGAGTAGGTCTTATATGACGAATCCACTCTCCCTATGCTTTTAATCCTTTCCACTACATTAAATCAAGGCAGGTCCAGCCTGTCCACCTTTTGGTCCGTGTGTCAGTCAACCCAACACACTGTTAGAACCCTTTCTGATTCCCCAAGCTTCAACATTAAATGAAGAATCTCTGCTTAGTGAGCCCAGAACAACAAAAAAATTTAACTTAATACAACTTTATGTTCTTTTTACTGTTATTTCACACCCTTAGTATCCATTCCTACACCTATTACCCAGATTTCTGTCTGTATGAATTAGAAAACTCAAGTAATTCTTTTGGAGTGTAGCACACATCTTCATGGGTCACACTTTGAACCTCAACTTTAGGGGCCAGCTGGGATTTGAGTTTGGTTATAGGACTAGAAGCAGAGAGAGATGAGAGATGGGGTAGAGGTAAAGGGTTTCTCAGGAGAATTAAAATTGTCTTGCATAGCAGCTGCCTCAGAGGAGGCTATCTCTATTTGCTCAGACAGTGCAGAGCTGATCCTCCCAGAGGGTGGAGATGAAGTAGAGAAGGAGATACCACTGGAGACAAGGAGGCCACTTCCACTAGAAAGGAAGACTCCTCAGAATTTAGGAGCTCCATGTCCCAAACTTGATCAGCGACTTTCTACACAACCCCCATCCCAACTTACAGAATCTCATCAATGCTTCCCTTTAACAGTAGACACTTCGTGAAGCTTGGAGTTCAACTTGCATTGTAATTAAACCAGTGTCAAGCTGAGATTCTGCATTTGGTGTTAAGCAATCTCAACCCTACAGTAAGTTTTAGGTCATTTATGCAGTGCTTGAGTCACATAACACCCTTACAGACAAACCTAGAAATAATGTTTAACCAGATATCTAGGCATCCCATGACCCAGCCATATTGACACACAAAACTAACCATCACAACTGCCTAAAGTCACATAGCTGGCAAATTTGGGGGCCCAGGTTTGCAATCAGAAAATCCATTTCCAGAAACATGTTTTACCCACTAAGTTGCAGTATCTAGGGATTATAGGCAGGATATCCTCAAGTTCCAAGACAGATAAGACAGAGAGTTAAACAGAGCAGAAACACTTTTACCACTTCATTCTTCTCACCAAAAAAAAATCTACTCCCAAATATTAATAGCAACTTCTTTCTGTGTCACTGAAGATTTCATTATACCATTGATAGATTTCAGTGCTTCCCCTCCTGGGGGAGGATATCAAATGGCAGAGGTATGCCTTGAGCTCCACTAAAGTACCAGTCATTGTTCTTAACGTTGACAAATGAGTATGTCCAGATATATTTTATCTTATTTGTTAATAACTATAATAAAAACCCAAACTCCCAATGATATGACTTTTAATATGTCATTTAGAACTGAATAAAATTTAGTCCTGTAATAATATATATCATATTTTCTTGCTTTACTATATGCTTTTTTGAGTTCTGAAGAAAGATGTGAAATTAAAGCTAATGGAGCTGCGTGTGGGGGTGCACTGGCTTTTCACATGTGAACATCTCTGTATTTCAGAGCATTAAAATATATTTCTTTAAAATTAGATTTAATAGAATTAGTAAACAAAACAAGCACTTAATTCCTCAAGTTTTATTTTTAAATCATTTACTTTAAATATAAATTATACAAATATTTCTTATTTTATAAAACTAGATTTCAGAGTTTTAGTACCATTTACTCTACAGTTGGTCAAGATCACAAAGGTAAAATCCATTTTTTTCAAGTATGATGGTTTCCAGATTTTTGAAACAGGGGAATCATTCTTCAAATGATCTATTTAGAAATTAACATATCCATAACAGATTTGAAGGCAAGATGGAAAAGGTGGAAACAAGTTCTGAAGCCAGGATGGAGAGCTGAGGAGGAGGGGTTAAGGAAGAACTGAGGAGTGGAGGTCCGGAGATCCACCCATTCAGCCATGCTATTCAGACAACTTCTCAGGCAACTTTTGGAGCACCATAGACCACAATTTAAAAGGGATTATCCAACATAATTTAGTGTAATTTAGATCATAAAATTATTATCATTTTTAAATCTTGTAAGTATATTAAAGTGATAGCTCTAATTAATATTTTAACTATATTTTATTTTAAAATGTGATATTATATAACATACATATACATATTATTAAATGTTACATCTCATTTTATATATTGAACTTGAATTTTTTAATTTTCAAAAGTGGTGTACAGCATCCTGAGGCACTTACATTTTTGTCTCTGCTTGTGGCTAATATTTATCTCTTTACCATATCTGTCAAAATGAAAATTTAGATTTTACAGCAAAAAATTAAAGTAAATTATATGTACTGGACTTTAAATATAGTTGTCTGACACAACACTTAAGATGGCCAGCTTTACTCTTTTAAACTGTAGTTTGGAATTATCTTTGAGCATTGATGAATTTCTTTTGATTTTCTCTTATTTTCAGATCAACAAAATGACTGTAATAAATCCTGATCCTGCCTTTGGTCTGGATATTTAGTAGCTCTGTATTTGTTTTCTTTGATGGCAACATGCATTAATATTTATAACCATTTTCCTTTGCAGCATCTCCCAGATGGCTCTGCGCCCAGTGCACATGTTGAATTTTATCTTTTACCATATCCCAGTGAAGTTCGTAGGAGGAAAACAAAATCTGTTCCAAAATGTACAGACCCCACTTACAATGAAATTGTAAGTATGAGTCATCTTTTGTCCAGTCATTTTGTATTTTTCTTACCATTTTTCAGCTTAACAACCAAATATGGAAAATTTGCAGTAATTGACAGCATTATTTCATGAAGGAAAGATATTTTCCGAAATAGTCGCCGTATGCTTATCACTCTTCTAGATGCTATGGGCACTGGAAAATACAGATACTGCTTTCAAAGCTCTTATAAACCAATTTGCAAGTTGTGGCTAACCTCCAGCAAGAGCCCAAGACTTGTTTTGCATACTAACATTATTCCTGACTTCATCTTATTTTCTCTAACCTTATTCTCCTTTACCTGATTTTCTTTACCTAATAATTTTATCATATACTACCTTGGGTATAACAGTAAATCTCATAAAACCCCTTTTGAAAAACTAAAAAATAAATACAAAATACAAATGGAAGTTAATGTATATTATAAATAGCTCTCTAATTTATTTGTAATGTGCAATTTGAACATTCAACTCCCTAACTTCTTTCTAAGGCAAGCCCCTACATTTATTCTCTTGATTCCATCCTTTCCCATCTCCTCTGCACCTTGCTCAACTCCTTATTTGTGTTCCTTTTCTTATGGCTGTCTCATCCACAGGATCCTCCACTCAGAAATATTAAAAAACAAAAACAAAAAACTCCCCAACTCAGGCTTGCTAAGCAAATTTTCTTTCCCTCCCTATCACCTCCAAACTTTTCCAAAATTAACCCACAAGACCTGCTTTCCCTTCATCTCTCCCTTTCACCCTTGAATGCTTTGCAATGTGGATTCTGACCTTTATTGATAGGAGTCTACTGATGCCCCTTGAATAAAGCACTAACTGCCAAATCCAAAGATCCCTCAGGCTCTCGTGCCTGGATCAGTTATACAGCAGGACTACTGTCCACACCCCCATTCCTGAAATCTCCCTTTTGCTTTTTGAGTTGTACCTTTTCTTAATCCTCTTCCATTTTCGCTACCTACTTTCTCATTTTCCTTCATTGTTATTCTTTCTCTTAAAATATTACTGTTTGCTGAAGTCACATGATCCACCCTCATCTCCTCTTCTTGTATATACTCCCACAATTATCTTATGGATCCACAAAGTTTTATCTATCACCTATAGGTAGGTTGCATCTGAATTGACTCCTAAAACCCTGGTTTCTGTCTCAAGCTTTTTTTTTTTTTTTTTTTTTTTTTTTTTTTTTTTTTTGAGATGGAGCTCCTCACTCTGTGTCAAGCAGGCTGGAGTGTAGTGGTGCAATCTCAGCTCACCACAACCTCCACTTCCCAGGTTCAAGCAATTCTCCTGTTTCAGCCACCCAAGTAGCTGGGATTACAAGCTCCCACCACCCCATCCGGCTAATTTTTGTATTTTTAGTAGAGACAGGGTTTTGCCATGTTGGTCAGGCTGGTCTCCAACTCCTGACCTCACGTGATCTGCCCGCCTCAGCCTCCCAAAATGCTGGGATTACAGGCGTGAGCCACCACGCCCAGCCTCTCTCGCACTTCTACCTGATTACTGGAGAGCTCCATCTGAATGTCTCATAGGCACTTTTAGATCAGGTTTTCCTGCATTCATTCTTTCTTTTATAGATGGTACCTTTGGTGTCAAAACTAAGAAACTCTTTGCCTAGCACTGAGTCTCAAAGATTTTCTCTTACATTTTGTTCTAAAAGTTGTATAGCTTTACATTTTACATTTAAGTACATTATCGATTTTGAGTTAAATTTTTAATAAAATGTGATGTTTAAGTCAAGGCTCTTTATTTCCCCATTGTGGATACCAATTATTCCAGCACTATTTGTTGAAAAGGCAATTTTTCCTCCACTGAATTTCTTTTGTACCTTTATCAAAAATCAGTGGGGAATATTTGTGTTCTTACACTCTTTTTGTTGCCCCATACTTAGCCATATTTTCGGATCATACCAGACAGCTTGTCATTCCCTGAATGGACTTCAGGATTTTGTGATAGAACTCATGCCACCATTCACCTCTCTCTGCCCTTCTCTGCCTGCTTTGAGACTGACCTCAGATGTGAACTCTGTGAACACTGTCACCTTGTGGACTCACACCACATTTATAATCCTTTCTTCAGTCCTACACAGTTTTTCTTCTAGTATATCATAAACTTCTCTGGCGGGGTGGGGGGGAGGTAAATGTCTTATCCTTTTTAATATTTTTAACACTTAGTTACCTCTAAAAAGATGTGTAATAAATGTTCGGGGCAGTTTTATATATGACACTTTGTGTGTGTGTGCGTGTGTGTAAAATGCAAATACATGTATATACTGCATATATAGAAAGAGATTCTCTAAACTAGTAAGGAAAAATATTTTCACACTTATTTGTCATGATGTCAACAGTGAGAAGTGTACATCTCCCAGCAATATATCACTGTTTCTTTTCATACTTTTTGAGTACAAGTCTTCATGCCTCACTATCAAGAAACTTCTCAGACCCTGTGTGAGGCGTGAGCATTTTCAGTATAAGAAAACATGTAATAACAAGAAACCACTAACAATTCAGAATAATTTAAATAAACTTGTGTTTTATTTCAAGCTTTACGTATTATAAGAAAACAGTAGTAAATATATATTCGTGGACGATTACTTTATAATTCTTGGTGTGCACATAACTTTTCTGAGGGCTTGCAATAATCTAGGTCCTCACACATCCATACCCCATTGATTAAAAATCACTGCAAATCTTTCTCAATTGATCTATACTTGTCGCATGAATAGACACTTTATACTCTGGACACATTTTAAATTGCTTCAAAAACCACGGCCCATGCATAGCCAATTCTAATCAGAACATAGTCCAATCAAGCAGAAATTTGAAGTAGTGTGTGCACAAGTGACGATTTTAGTAGTGTAGGCATTAGGACAGTAAGAGGTTTCTACATCATATAAACAATTCTAGCAACGAAGCTGGTTGAATTCCAAGAGCCAAAAGGAAAAAAAGGCCACAATGGCTAATTTAATTTTTTTCAGTCTGTGTCTGTATCAACACAACAAGAATATTTATAAGAAATGCAAAGAAGCACACTAGATTTTAACTCTGATTTTACTTTCTCTTGCTCTCAGTAGTGATGTAGGACCCCATCTTTGTGTCAAACTCCTCAGTCTCTTGTGTGCAACCTCAAGAACACCTTACTAGATGTCTTCACCAATAAACCCAGTGCTGACTAGAGAGCCCAGTGAGTTATCACAGGGCATCTACCTTGTTTTAAACTTTTCCTCCGCTTCCGTCGCCTCGCCGAGTACTGCTGCATCAACCACTCACCACAGCTGGGATTTCTCAAACTGTAAAAGCCGTGTACTGCTCTGTGAAGTGGGAGAGGATGACCTCACTCTCCTCTTTATATAAATCTCTTAGAGGAGTACAAAGAAGATATTACATTGCATACCAATGTCTTACAAAGCCTTTTGTGAAAATAGTTCTTTTTATTTTTATTCCTATCCTCCTTTCTCTTTAATATCCAGAGATGAGAAAGGCTGGGTCGGGGACACAGACAAGTGACAGAGTCTCCACCCTTCACATACTGAGGCTTTGATGCAGGGCCAAGCTTGTCTATTTGACCCTTTGCAGAGTGAGTCCCACTAGGCTTCATCAGCAGTCTCCCTGAAAACCCCTGTCATTTATAAATCCCAGTGATGGGCACGGCTGGTCTCAAGATGGGGCTGGGGCTGGGGGTGCGAGTGCTCAGGGAACTGCCATACAGCTTGAAGAAGCAGAGCTGAGATTCCGGGCTCCAAAGCCTCTTTCCACGCCATTACTTTTGCCATCTTGTTAAAAACCATCATTTTTCTCACAATTCATTAGAAATACAGAATTTCTACCCTATGACAAAATTACATGCTTATAATCAATATATTTTGTATATTGCAATCTTTTCTTATATATTATTCTGTTGTAAGGTATAAAGGGAAAATTAGAAAGAACAGAACAGGAACGTTCTATGCATTTTACATGCCTTAAAATATCCTGCAGAATATACAGTGATTACTTAGCACAATGCCAAGTATATGGCACACTCAGGAAGCTATAGTTATTGCTATCTGTGTTATAATCTTATTGCAACTTCAACGTGATGAAAATTGTATTTGTAAGTGAAGACAATGTGACCCAGAAGTCACACAACTATATATTAAGCCCAGAACTGCCTGATTCCAAAGCTCATGGTTACCGCACTACACTATGCTGTGTTATTCCTACCTGTCTCCACCCACGGAGTACTCCTGTTCTCACTTTTGAACTCTTTCTTTCATTATCCTGCCTCCTCTACCACTTCCCACAAGCACTAGAGACACTTCAATTCCTATCTTGTTGTTCTCTCATTTCAATCATGAAAATACACGTTAGAATTATTTACTAGACCCTTGTGTCAACTAATGTTCAGTACATTCTTGGAATGTTCCGTATATGTTAATAGATATGAATTACCTTAAGTGTTTTCTATTAGACGTAATAATTCCAAACCCACACATTTAGTTATTTGTCAGAAGGTAGTAAAGACTTAGCTCATGCCTATAGGTAAAAATTATTAGAAAGAGAAATTAAAAGAGCTATTTATTTTTGGTTCTGAGTATGTACCAGAACCATTTTTTTTTTTTTTTGGTTCTGAGTATGCAGAATATATATTAAATCCTTTGACGAAAGGTCTCAAAGAATATAATCATCTCTGTACTTTGCTAACATTAGCCACTAATTATTCTTTGCTCAGTTAAAAAGAGTACTTACTATTTAACAACATTATGGATGCGCCAAAGCAATTAGAATAAATATTTATCAACTATAATGTGCAATGATTACATGTTTATAAAACTTCAGTCACTTTTAAGAAAGTAACTTTTCTTAATAAAACCAAGGGAAAAAATATATTAAGTAATAAAAAACTTTGGAAGTTCAAATGTTTGTATTTTAACCAGGAAAGCAATTAATTCCTAACGTCACTTCTTGAAGCTTTTAGCTTGCTAAATACCTGGGAGACTCAATTCTGTCTGGAAGGGTTTTCTCCAGTCAATTGATGCAAAATATTAAGAAACAACTGTTCCTTTTTGTGTATTTGATGGATCTTTTTCAGCTATAATTTATTGGTGTCTAATATGTTCCAGGCTTTGTAGCAAGCCTTATATTCATTATCTCATTTCTTCCTCCCTATAATGCTAAAAGGTAAGGATTATTATCATCATTATGCAAATGAGAAAACACACAGTTGACAACAGATTCATGAAAATATAAATTATTGATATGTTTTTTAAAAACTTACAATTTATGACTTATTCATACAATTCACAGAGTCCTTAGCCAGACTTCCCCATTTTTCTGCATCATATACAGTCACACTTTGAGGGTTCATTTCTCTGTCTTCTCTGTAAAATAAGAGAGGAGTTCATCAGCTGAACATGATGCAGGAAGAAAAATGGAGAACAGTTCAGACAGTTCAAAATAGCCACTTAGAGAAAAGAAAAAGGAGTTTACTCTGAAGTCCTGGAAAGATTTCCAGGCAGCATTGGGTGTCCAGTTGTTAAAAAACATGAATTACAGTGGTAGGGTTCGGAGATTTTTTTAAGGAAACTCTTAAAATCCTCTATTATCCCAGGAAAACTCAATAGGTGAAATGGAATAATGTGAATGAGCAACACTAGAAAACTAAACCATAATCTCCTGTATGGAATGAGAGTAAAATTCTGGAAAAAGAGGTAGCCAAGAACACACACAAGGATCAGGGTAGACCGCATTCGCATATCAGATTGCATCTCATGCCCTTTGATTGAACTTATTTACTTATTAAGTGAATCATTATTCAGAGCCACTAGCAGATTGATCTGGAACTGAATTTCACTGATAATGTAATGAAAGGTAGGCCTATGCTGTGCAAAGTACTGGAAACTGAATCCATGCCCTCAGGGGAGGCTGCCCAGTGAACTCAGAGGGCTGCCCTCTGAAGTCGTCTCCTCTGCTTCTTGTTGGCATATATTGAGAAAGTTTCTATCTTGTGACTTGCCTGTAAAAAGCAAGCAAGTTTGTAGCAGTATATGAAATTCCTTTTCTAAATGTGTTCTAAGACATTTCCCTGGTAACCATGCCAGATTTCCACTCAGCTCTCTCCTCCTTTCATGATAAATAACTAATTTCTTTGCACTAATATACCTTTACGTTGCTTTACCACTGCGGGTTGCCGATGGACCTGTAACTCACTTCCTGCACGTTATGAAAGGACAGCTGAACAGATCCCTTTTGAAAAAAAAAAGTCATAAAAAAAGAACAAAACATGAAACTGTATATAAAGCATAATTACAAGTCAGATTCTGAATCAGTGATTATATATAGAAAACAAAAAGAACATCAAAATGTTAACTGTAATTATCTCCCAATGGTGAAAATTCCAATTATTTTCTTCCTTTTTGGTATTTTTGTTGTTGTTGTTTCATACAGATTTAATGAATGTGTATTTTCATAATTTAAAAATTAGCAACTTTAAATAAATGAAAGTAACCATAGTATTACTTCTGCACATGTACAAGAAAATATCATTGTGCTGCTTTTAAGTAGCAAAGGGAAATCATAGAAATTGGTCTGTTTTATGGTCACAAAGATGGGAAGCATAAAGACTGGGGATTCCAAAAGAGGGAAGAAGGAAGAAGGAGACCAAGGGTGGAAAAACTACCTATTGGGGGCTATGTTCACTACTTGGGTAACATGATCATTAGAAGCCCAAACCACAGCATCACACAATATACCCCTGGTACAAACCTGCACGTCTATTCCCCTGAATCTAAAATTGAAAAAAAAAAATTGGTCTGTTTTTCCTCAGTAACATTCAACACAGAAGAATGATGTTCTTTTTTTATTTTTATGAATACATAATAGCTGAACATATTTATGGGATATAGAAGGTAAAGAATATTTAAATTTCTTCCTAGAGAGTAATTTACCATCTTTCTAAATATAGAAATTCTTAGTAGAATCAGTAAATTCTAGGATTCTTACAAAAAATAGCCTGTCATTAAACTCTGTTATGTTAGCAGAACCTTTAGCTTTTCAGAATAAAAGTTAGAAATAAAAGAGTCTGACATTAACCTATCTATGCCAGGGTACAAGATATTAGCAGCTAATTTTTTTTTTTATTAAAAGCAATACTTAAAAAAGAGATGTATTTAAGCATTTCTGAATTATATTTTCATTATTTTCTCCCTCTTTAGGTAGTATATGATGAAGTCACAGAGCTCCAAGGACATGTCTTAATGCTTATTGTGAAGAGTAAAACTGTATTTGTGGGAGCAATTAACATCCAACTCTGTAGTGTCCCACTCGATGAAGAAAAATGGTACCCATTAGGAAACAGTATAATTTGACCATTGCTATGAACGTATGCATTATTCATTAACTACTTGTATTTTTTTTCACTTCTGGGCCTCTGAATCTCGTAAGTAAGGCATCTTTGTTGTCAAAGATAGCACAGGGTATTAAGGACACCAAACAAATCAGAATTAGTCTTTTGTGTTGTTTATTTTCTGCCTGTGCTTTCATTGTTTTTTTCATAATCTTTTCTCCTTCAGTGGAGTACTGATTGCATGAAATTTGATGTGTAAAATAATAAAAGACCTTTATTAAATGATTTTAATATATTTTAAATTAAACATAGGTTTACATCTGTTTTAATTGTGTGCCTACAGTTAAAAGCAGTATTTCTAATGTATTTTATAAGAAATATAATCATATAACTAAACCTCATCAATTAATTCAAGATCTAGATATACCTGTAATCTATTTTTAAAATTTAAATTATATATACCTATATACCTACTCATAATCTTACTTATTGAGGGAATTGGTATATTTCAGCAGAATGCTATATTATTTTCTATCAGAAAACCAAAACATAAATCCTGAAATCCTTAAATCCAATTGTTGGCAAAAACTTCTTTGTAGTTTTTCACCCTCTTCACCACCAATCAATTCATTGTCACTGGATTTCTCCCACCCAGAGGCATGATTTAAACTTGGTTATGCCTGGACTCCAAGATCTGAAACTCTGAAACTCTCCCTTCTGATCAAATTTCTTATCTATGCACATTATTTTCCTTACTTCTGAACCTACTTTCATAGTCACCATTACTATGGCAAACTATCCCACAGATTTCCACCTACACAGTGGGTAAAATTTAATGCACTATGCCACATTCTTTAAAACAATCAAAAAAAATTTTTAATCTTGCCATTCAAATTACTGAAAAAATTTAAATCCCTGCTTATTCAATGTTTTCCTGTGTATGAATGAAAAAAAAACTAAGCTTTTTCCTATCACCTCCTATATATCATATGAGCATGTAAATGTATTCATTGAAAATTATTTGAGTGTGTGATATAAGCTAATATGGGCTCATTTGAAATGCATGATCACGCAAGTCAAGTGAGCCCTTAATTCTGTATGTTCTCAGTCCATTACTCTCCCTTTCTGCTGGACGATTATACACCCTTCTCTCTGCTGAAACCTCAGCATCTTCTCCCCTAATCCTCACTCTCAGCTGATGGCATTGTTTCCTACATCACTTAAAAATTAGAATCAGTCAAAAGAAACTGCCACAGACTTTCACAACTGCATCTACCCAGGTAAGCAAATTCCATGTTCCACCTTTATGCTTATCACAGAGAAGAGTTAGCCATGCTCCTATCCCAAACCAGTCTCCCAACTTGTACATTTGACCCCATCTCCTCTGACCTACTCCAAAACATTGCTACTGAAATCCTCTTCTACTCAAAGCATCATTTCTGTACTATCTACTGGATAATTCTGGACAGCATGCAACATGATGTTATGTCTTCCATCATAAAATTAAAACTTTCTCATTACCCTACTTCCCTGCCAAATGCTGACCCATTGCCCTGCTCCTCTTTGCAGCAAAACTCTTCAAAATGGTTGTCTTTACTGCCTCTGGTTTCTTGCCTCCAGTTTTCTCTTAGAGCCATTACAAGCAGGTATTTGCTCCCACCATTTCAATGAAACTACTTTAGTCAAGATCACTACTGACCTCCAATTAGCTAAATCCAAAGGTTATTTTTCAGAACAATTCTAATTTACTTGTCAACAGTTTTGGATACAATGAGTAAGTCTATCTTCCTGGATATATTTTCTTCATTTGACTTGCAATACCCTACATCCTCTTGTGCTTCCTTTTAGTTATAGTTTAGTTTAGCTTTGTTTCCTTTTTGTCTCTCCTTCTTAGTCTTCTGTGTGGGAGCATGCTCCTCTCCGCCACTTCCAGTGCCGGAGTTTCCTAGGGCTCACCACTTGCTCCCCTTTCCCATCAAGTTTAACTCCTTTAATGATCTCATCTACTCTCAAGGCTTTAAATATCATCTGAACACTGATGAGGATTTCCAGTTTTATAACTCCAACCCAGAATACCTCCCAGATTCCAGAGATGAGTAACAAATTACCAGCTTAATATCCCCCTTGAATTGCTAATGAATATCTCAAACTCAGTATCGCCAAAAGTACACAGGGATCAGGGAAAATATTAGGGTTCTTTTCCTGCAGACCTGTTTTATCCACATCCTTTCCCCTCCTAGTTGATGTCAAACCCATCGTTCAGTTGTTAAGAGCAAAAAACTTGAAGTAACCCAAATTTCTCTCTCTCTATATATGTGTGTGTGTGTGTGTGTATACACGCACATTTTTTAAGAGAATTACTTAGGAATTTTTTTTTAATCCTTGCCCTTCAAATTACTGAAAAATGTAAACCCTTGCTAATTAAATGTTTTCCTGTGTATGAAAAAAATTAAACTATTTTGTATGTTCATTTACATAACCATATAAACACATAAAAGTCTATACATTTATTAACTGAAAAATGTGAGTGCCTGATATGAGAGCTAATATGGGCTTATTTGAAATACATGAAATACATGATATTTACATAACTGGAATATAAATATATGTATGCTTGTGTGTGTGTGTGTGTATATATATGTATATTCCAGTCCATCAGGAGGTCCTGTTGGCTCCACCTTCAGAATATTTCCCAAATCCAATCACCAACCACTTATCACTCTCCACCAGAAAATACTCTGGTCCAACTTACTGCTCTCATCCTTGGCCTGGATTATATAATTGCCTTCTAAACAGTTTCCTCCTTTCTATGCTTACTCTGCCCCTTATAGTCTATTCTCAACACAGCAACGGGAATGGTTAGATCATTCTTCGGTTCAAAACTCTGCAGGGGCTTCTAATCTCAGAGTAAAAGCCCAAGCCTTTAAAAGAAACCTAAAAGGCCCTATGTGATCTGACCTCCCATCCTCATCTCTCTGATTTTAACTCTTGTTATATCCTCCTATGCTTATAACATGCAATCGACACTGGCCTCCTTTCTGTCTCCTGGACACTCCAGGCACACTTCATCCCTGGGATCTTTGATCAGTCAACTCCTTCTTCCCAAAATGTGCCTTTGTGCCCTGTATCCATTTCCCTAGCTCCCTTACCTCTCTCAAATCCTGCTCAGATGTCTCCATCTCTGCTGGGCCTACCTTGAACACCCTATGTGGAATGTTGTAAGCTGTCCTGTCCCTGGAAACACACCAGATCTTTCCTACTCTGCACCACTTGTATCTTATGCACTTATCACCTTTGAACATTTTATATAATTTACTTACGTATTTTGCTTATCATTTATGCTTTGTCTCCCTTCACTAGGCAATTAGCCATAAGACTATCAAGAAGTTTAGTTCACTGACAGTATAGACTTAGATCCAGGCAAGAGAATTTCTTGCCCTGATGTCCTCACCATAAAGAACCTTGCCTTCTCTAGTTGTGAATCAGCAACACCCAAAGCCCTCATTCTAGACCACCGTCTAGGTACCTAAGGACCCTGGAACTTCCTGCCTGAACAGCCTTTGAGGGCCTTTTCTCTAGATCCATTCATCTGAAGTCAGACTCACCACCAATGGGAGCAATGCCTGGGCTCCAAGGATAACCAAGGCAAGGCTCCTTGCAGGGTATATGAATGTCACTGGAATGTGCCAGTTGATTGTTCACAGACATGTACTTGAGGTGACCACAGGGCAGGATGGGGCCGGGGGCAGGAATAAATAGCAGGACATGAAGGAGGTAGAGGATAAGGACCAGCTCTTTTCATTCCATCATAACTCAGCAGGGATCTCTAAGGATTTCAAAAAGCTCATCCATCCAGGTGTTTAAAAAAAGTATATTTATTATTGGAGGAGAATAAAACATATTTTCTTTGTTAGTTTGTTAGTTTTATGTGTAACTTTTAAATTTAGGCAGATGATATGTGAGTATTATGGACTAAATCATGTAGTCGCCAAAAGTGATATGTTGAAGTCCTAACCCCAGGTACCTCAGAATGTGAACTTATTTGGGAAAAAGAAAAAAAGATGTAATTAGTTAACTAAATTACTAAAGATGTAATTAGTTAACTAATTACTAAAGATGTAATTAGTTAAGATGCGGTCATATGGAGTAAGGTGGTCCCCTAATTCACCAGTCATATATAAGTATATGACTGATATACTTATGAAAGGGAGAAATGTGGTCACAGATCTACACAGAAGGAAAATGTCATATAAACATGAAGGTGGAGATCAGAGTGATGCATCTACAAGTCAAGGAATGCCAAAGATTGCCAGAAAACCACCACGAACTGGGGAAGAGACATGGCAGAGATTCTCCCTCACAGCCCTCAAAAGGAGCCAACCATTGATCTTGGACTTACAGCCTCCAAAGCTGTGGGGGGGAAATATAGTTGTTTAAGCCACTTGGTGCATGGTGCTTTGTGACAGCAGTCCTAGCTAACTAACATGCTGAGTCATCATCTGTTGTGTTGTCCCAGCCCCACAAACATTTGGCACAATGTTTTTTAAAATGTGTGAATTATCACCTAGACAAATGATTAAATGGCACACCAGTAGAAGAAAAGCAAGATCCCAGTCTTCACTCACATTCAACAATGTTGCAAAGCTCCTTTAGGCTTTATATATTTACATTTTATTTGTTCCCTACTAGAAACCTCATGAGGTAGGAAAAAAAGAATTACTATGTCTCTAGAGAGTAATAACATTCAATTGTCTCATAGCAACATATCTTTCTACTCAAGTGAAATCTTACATTGTGTGTGTGTGTGTGTGTGTGTGTGTATATATATATATGTTCAGAATGTGCATATTCTGTCTCACATAGAGAGAGAGAAAGAGAGAGACTGATTTTAGGCTAAGTGAGAATGAGGGAGCTGGAAGCTTAGGACACACAGTCAACCCCTCAAACCCCGACCTGTCATTCTCATCCTTAAAGTCTCCTGGAAACTTCTGCAAAAACTAAGACATCTCAAAAAGCACAGGTTAGAAATAAATGAGGCTCTAGATCATTGCCTGGCTACTAATATCATAAAACAACGTGGTTGTAGTAGCAGAAACCCATTCCCAGCATTGGCAGCATGGTTTGAGTCAGGAGTTCATTCTCAGAGGAAATGGATTATTGAGAAGCCATCATTAGTCACATCTTACCCAAGCCAAAAGTGAAGATTTGATAGTACACAGGAAAAATTCCAGCCACAAAAGCAATTTTTCAGCAACTTGAACTCTCACGATGTAACACAAATATTACAAATTTGTGTGTATATTATTT